ATTTCCCATTTTTTTACATATTTACCGGACGCGCATCTTATTTACCGGACGGTATTTACCGGTATTTACCACCGGTAATTACCGCCACCGGTATTTACCACCCAACCCTGTCTGTGAGGGATAAGAGTGCAGTCAAAGTCGAATGTTTCGGGCGGAAGCCGTGTTGGTTATGACATAATAGTTCATTCTTTGAAAGCCGGTAATCATACACTTGATTAAACACAAGCTTTTCCAGCACTTTAGATAATACAGGTAAGACTGATATTGGCCTATAGTTGCAGGGATTAGCTCTATCACCACCTTTGTGAATAGGCGTCACCCTGGCCCTTTTCCAGGCACAAGGAATTTTCCCCTTTCTTAATGACGCATTGATGATATGAGTTAGCGGTTTTAACAATGTATTCAATAGAATCTTTTACGAAACTGGCTGGTATTTGATCGAGGCCAGTGGCCTTATTCCTTGCAATATCATGAATACATTTCAAAACCTCGTTTTCTGTTATCTCTTTAAACTTAAATGTTGAGTTTACTTGAGTCAACCAAATATTTTGGTTCCCTTCCGTTTAGATGGTAACTCTACAAAATGATCATTCAAACATGATGCAATATATTTTGATCCTGTTATTTCTTTATCGTCAATAATTATCTTTTGAAAACCGCTATCATTGACATTTTTAGGTATGATACGTCTCAATGATTTCCACATTGCATTTAATTTACCTTCATTATTCGAAATGATCTCCGAAACATATCTCTTTTTGGATTCCCTAACCATTGATGGGACAGCATTTCTAGTTGTTTATACATCACCCAGTCATTCGATGACCCTGATCCTTTAGCTTTTCTTTTCATTCGATCTCTTTCTCGCATTTTAGTTAAAATTTCATTATTCATCCATGGTGAATCTTTATGACGAATTCTTTTTCTTCTTAATGGAGCATGTTTATTTAAAACCAAATTGAACTTAGAGCTCCATTTTCCAAAAGCACTGATTGGATCAGGGTCAGAAAGTACATCATCCCAATGAACTTTACAGAGATCCAATTTATATTGGGCTAAATCGAATCTTTTCGCATTACGACTATACATGTACTTATGTGTTTTCATGGCTCTTGCTCTACCAAGATTACATACTATCATAAAATGGTCGCTTAAACTCAGTGGGATGACATCACTAAAATAAACTTTTTCATGATTAGAAAAATAAAACACATCAATTAATGTCTCTGTCACACAGGTTACTCTTGTTGCCTTATTTATGAATTGTTTCAAATCGTATTCTTCACTTAAACGCTTCAGAGTTTTCGTTTGACTTGACATAGGTCTTTTTAATAAATCACAATTGAGATCCCCAAAGATAATAAATTCTTTAGAGGAAGACTCTAAGTTGTAACAAAGTTTCAAATTTCTCAAAGTGTGCATTATGGGAATTTGGTGGTCTGTACCAATACACTATTAAGAAGGGTTTTTGCTTTGGTAAGCAGATCTCCAAACACATTAGTTCCAAACCATCAACAAAGAATTCATTTTTTATACTGAATGGTACAGTGTCTTTAATAAAAGTTATAATTCCACCACCATTTTTATTTCTATCTAATCTCACAATTTTATAACCTGATATGGATATTTCAGGGTTTGAAATAAAACCATCTAATCGCGTTTCACATAAAGAAAAAATATGCATGTTACATGTGGTTAAAATATTACGAATCTCTTAAAAAAATTTCGTCCTGGCTCTGTACACATCATTACGGACATTATATCTGCTAAATTTCACTATGATCGGTCTCGGTTTGTTCCTCCTCGTAGTACTCGCGTACGGTGGCGAAGTCGATGACTCGCGTCCCTCATCAGCAGCGTGGCTCGAACGTGGAGAGATGCGGTGACTACGATCTATCGCGTCCGGTTGAACTCTAAGACAGAGCTCAGTCGTATTGAACAAATGTAGAACGAGTTCATCTGTCTTCAGTTCTGGTCCTTCGGGAATGCCATATATCCACAGACAGTTTCTCCTACTATACTGTTCTGCATCTTCTTTCTCATCCTGTAGTACTTTTGTTTCCTTCTTCATTTAAGTTATTTTCTTTTTGATGGTTCCTACTACATCTGTGTATTTCTTCAAATCCAAACTGACAGCTTGATACACTTTCTCCACAACTTGCTCCTCCAATTTTGCAGCTATTACGTTGTATACATCGTCCGCTATACGTTTGATCAGGTTCGATGATCGTAGTGAGAGGGCAATCTGCTTTTCAATAGCATTCTTCAGTGTATTGTCTAGACTCGGGGCCCCCTCCTTGATTTGCGCTTGACTGACCAGCAAGACTTTCGTCTTCATCAACACTGGAGTTAAGCTCGTCTGTCCCCGATTCTGCCGGCGTCGAAATTGCTTTACTTCGTTCATTTTCGGTCGGTTCCTTCCGTTTCCGACGATCAGTTTTTGGCTGACTTTTCCCTCTAGTTGGCATAATACTTTCATTCAAATGTTTCGCAGCAGTATGTAGATGGTTCTTCACGTCAACTATACAATATTCAGAAACACCAAAACTTCATTCTAGTTGTGAATTTTCACATATATATATATATATATTCACACACAGATATAGGATATATGTAAATATTTTATTACGCTGTAAGTTAATTCAATTTATGTTCGTCGAGATTGCCTTGGTACAAAGATGTGTATATTGAAGATTTATTCCGACCGAACGCAAGGTGATTATGACAGGGCGTGGCGACCTGAAAGTACTTGCTGAATGTTTGTTACATGGTCGGCATAATTTACATCATTTTGAAATGCTTTCCATTTAATATAGGAATCCCATACCGATGAACATTTACCCAGTATGGGTCTTATATAGGAAAGAAATGAGCATACTCCTGCGGCAGACCTTTTTCACATGCAAATTAGTTTTGCCGCAGACTTGCCGCATACTCTTTCAGTATGATGAAGAGTCTGCGGCAGGTCTGCAGCAGACTTGCCGCAGACTTGCCGCATACTCTTTCAGTATGATGAAGAGTCTGCGGCAGGTCTGCCGCAGACTTGCTGCAGACCTGCCGCAGACTCTTCATCATGAATATTCATATCTCATATAGACCTGCTGCAGACCTGCCGCATACTCTTTCATTTCTAGTACGTGGCAATAAAGTATGCATGTAGTAGAACCAGTGATAATAATCGATATTGGCAATATCGATATTACCAATTAGGTAATACCAATATATATCAATATTACCAAATAGGTATATTCTATTCTCAATTGTATTAACTCCATCACATAAATCATTTGAAGTGTATTAAAGAGTATCATATAAAGTGACACAGGCTGGTACACATATATATATACTAAATATGTATATTGTTTCTTGGTTAGTAATCATATAATCAATATCAATCTATCAATCTATTGCTAAAACGTGAATGTAATTGTAACATGATCAGACAAAATAATCTATTGGTTAATAATGGCAAAAGGAAAATAGAAATCACAAAAATGATGTGCATTGTCTTAATTTGCTTAACAAATCATGATAAATGTATTTTTCTGTCACACGTGTAAAGTAATAATGAATATGCATGAGATGATTGGTTTCAATTGGTTTCAATTGGCCCTATTAGACTTTAATGGGATTTCAATTGGACCAATCTGCCCCATTAGACTTTAAAAGGTTTTCAATTGGTTTCAATTGGACCAATTGAAGTCCAACTTCAGGCCAATTGGGGTCCCATTAAAGTCTAATGGGGCATAGGCCAATGGGGCCAATGGGCCCAATGGGCCCAATTGGTCCAATAGGGACAATCTGGACCAATTGAAACCATCTGAAGTCCTATTAAACTAGTTCAATTGAAACCTGTTAAAACCTATTGAGACCAATTGAAACCAATTGAAAATTCAATTGGTGTTCAATTAGTTTCAATTGGATTTTCGTCTTGGGTAGTTACAACAAAAAATTGAGTTAGTGCGGCTGAAGATAAGATCACATATGGCACAACAAAAAAGTTTGAAACAGTCCTTTAATTCCTCAGTCTCCTCTTATGTAATAAATTCCTCTCATGGTACCAGTTGAACTTGAAGCAAATTGTTTGGTTTGACAGAAGCTAAATAGACAATTAACAGTGCTAATTAACAAAGGAATTTACAAGATCATGGGCTCAGCCTGCAACCTCATATGGTACTGCATGTCCTACAAAATGGCCGCCTATAGCCTTGCTTCAGACTGTATAATTTCCCACTTTTCTGTGGCAGACCTGCCGCAGACTGTTCCTGTGGCGTACTGGTATGCGGCAAGTCTGGAGCAAAGTTTCATCCTACCGCAGATCTGCCGCAGACTGTTCCTGTGGCATACTAGTATGCGGCAAGTCTGGAGCAAAGTTTCATCCTGCCGCAGATCTGCCGCAGACTGTTCCTGTGGCATACTAGTATGCGGCAAGTCTGGAGCAAAGTTTCATCCTGCCGCAGATCTGCCGCAGACTGTTCCTGTGGCATACTAGTATGCGGCAAGTCTGGAGCAAAGTTTCATCCTGCCGCAGATCTGCCGTAGACTGTTCCTGTGGCATACTAGTATGCGGCAAGTCTGGAGCAAAGTTTCATCCTGCCGCAGATCTGCCGCAGACTGTTCCTGTGGCATACTAGTATGCGGCAAGTCTAGAGCAAAGTTTCATCCTGCCGCAGATCTGCCGCAGACTGTTCCTGTGGCATACTGGTATGCGGCAAGTCTGGAGCAAAGTTTCATCCTGCCGCAGATCTGCCGCAGACTGTTCCTGTGGCATACTAGTATGCGGCAAGTCTGGAGCAAAGTTTCATCCTGCCGCAGATCTGCCGCAGACTGTTCCTGTGGCATACTGGTATGCGGCAAGTCTGCAGCAAAATTTCATCCTGCCGCAGATCTGCCTCAGACTGTTCCTGTGGCATACCGGTATGCGGCAAGTCTGCAGCAAAATTTCTTTCTGCCGCATACTTCGGCATACTCTTTGCCGCAGACTAAAAGTCTGCCGCAGATCTGCGGCAGGTCTGCGGCATACTTTTCACTTTCCTATGGGGATCTTGCATCGTGTTTTGGACAGTTCAGTCTTACAAATTAAGACTGCATGTCTGCATGTACACCAGAAGACAAGCATGCCAGTGCCACACAGTCCACGTTGATGACTTTCCAGCAGCTGAAGATACCCTGAAAAATAAAAAAATAAAAATACAAAACTAAGCACGTTGTAGTATTCTATTATGCTCTCAAAATAAATCTAGCGAAAATTAAGAGTTGAACATGGCATACACTGTACAAATGAAATTCATCTAAAAACTACGATTACTTGCATCCCTCACAAACTCATGACGTGACATGATTTCCGATCCGCACGTTGGCGATGCGAAAAAAGGGGTTCCGCAATAATTTTACATTTACCTTGTTGTCTACAGAGACTTTTACGTTTTGAGCGATAAATCCTAGGGAAGACGGACAACCCATGAAAGTAGACGGATCGGGAACCCAAAACCCGCTGAAGAAAAACAAAAAACTTCCGCAAAATTTTCGCGGACGATCCACATTTTTTAGGACGCATTTTGTCCGCGTATAGATCTACAAGGATATTTCCTCGTTTATGCCACCAATCCTCATTCTCAGACGAATCCGGGCTAACTCGGCCCATGGGACTACTCAGCCCAGTTGGAAAAACTGGGCCGAGATGTCCCGACCTGATTAATCGATCGAGAGATACCAATGTGTATATGTTTGTGCTCTTTGTGACTTAATAATGCCCTTTCCAACCAAAATCTTTAATGGAATTGTGTTAAATGATACTAATGAAGAAAATATATAACTTATCTTTAGGTAAAATGACAAAAAAATGACATTTCGGACAATTTACTCACAGCTCACAATCCGCATTGTCGTACGTACATTAAAGGTACTATGTCCCCTTTGCAGCCAACCTCAAATGCTGTAGAACTAATTTGCAGGAATTATGAATATGTCACGCATGTCCTATCTGTGAAATTTAAACGTTAGCAGTGTCCTCATATTTAAATGATGCAAGGAAACCCGTTTACTTGCTAGACTTCACTGTCAGCCACTATTGAGTGACTGACTGACTTTTTTTCTTCTTTGGTAATAACATACATGAAAAGAGTTGTAAAGGGTACATGAGCATTTGTCTACATCAATAACCCACTTCTTGTGATGGCCAAGATTAAACTGATTGAATCTTTGCACAGCATAAAACGTATGACCATTAGGTAAAATTGTCTGAAAATCAAGACTAATACTTTTGAGCTCTATAGCCCTAAAGTCAATTTGACAACTAATAGTCGTTATTTTCCCACTTGAAGGCATTTTTAAGCCCCACCTTTTTTAGAGAAGTTCTAAATTAGTATTATCTTTCAAATGCAGTTGGAATTTAACTTTTTCATTTTTTGGCCTGCAAATGGGACATAGTACCTTTAAATGTGCGTTGTATCTACTCGGACCACTAAAAGTCGAGCAGTGTTTTTGTCAGTAAATCACTGCAAAAATATCATTTTTATCTCGTATGAAGGTCTATTTTTTATTCCTGATACAAATTTCATTACTGAGAAGTCGAATATTAATAGTACATTTTAGACGAGATGGTTGATGTTTGTTCATATTCTTTCGTCCTGGCCGTTGCAGCAGCTGAAGATACCCTGAAAAATAAAAAAATAAAAAAACAAAATTAAGCACGTTGTAGTATTCTATTATGCTCTCAAAATAAATCTAGCGAAAATTAAGAGTTGAACATGGCATACACTGTACAAATGAAATTCATCTAAAAACTACAATTACTTGCATCCCTCACAAACTCATGACGGGACATGATTTCCGATCCGCAAGTTAGCGATGCGAAAAAAGGGGTTCCGCAATAATTTTACATTTACCTTGTTGTCTACAGAGACTTTTACGTTTTGAGCGATAAATCCTAGGGAAGACGGACAACCCATGAAAGTAGACGGATCGGGAACCAAAAACCCGCAGAAGAAAAACAAAAAACTTCCGCAAAATTTTCGCGGACGATCCACATTTTTTAGGACGCATTTTGTCCGCGTATAGATCTACAAGGATATTTCCTCGTTTATGCCACCAATCCTCATTCTCAGACGAATCCGGGCTAACTCGGCCCATGGGACTACTCAGCCCAGTTGGAAAAACTGGGCCGAGATGTCCCGACCTGATTAATCGATCGAGAGATACCAATGTGTATATGTTTTTGCTCTTTGTGACTTAATAATGCCCTTTCCAACCAAAATCTCTAATGGAATTGTGTTAAATGATACTAATGAAGAAAATCTATAACTTATCTTTAGGTAAAATGACAAAAAAATGACATTTCGGACAATTTACTCACAGCTCGCAATCCGCATTGTCGTACGTACAATAAAGGTACTATGTCCCCTTTGCAGCCAACCTCAAATGCTGTAGAACTAATTTGCAGGAATTATGAATATGTCATGAATGTCCTATCTGTGAAATTTAAACGTTAGCAGTGTCCTCATATTTAAATGATGCAAGGAAACCCGTTTACTTGCAAGACTTCACTGTCAGCCACTATTGAGTGACTGACTGACTTTTTTTCTTCTTTGGTAATAACATACATGAAAAGAGTTGTAAAGGGTACATGAGCATTTGTCTACATCAATAACCCACTTCTTGTGATGGCCAAGATTAAACTGATTGAATCTTTGCACAGCATAAAACGTATGACCATTAGGTAAAATTGTCTGAAAATCAAGACTAATACTTTTGAGCTCTATAGCCCTAAAGTCAATTTGACAATAGTCGTTATTTTCCCACTTGAAGACATTTTTAAGCCCCACCTTTTTTAGAGAAGTTCTAAATTAGTATTATCTTTCAAATGCTCCCACTTGAAGACATTTTTAAGCCCCACCTTTTTTAGAGAAGTTCTAAATTAGTATTATCTTTCAAATGCAGTTGGAATTTAACTTTTTCATTTTTTGGCCTGCAAATGGGACATAGTACCTTTAAATGTGCGTTGTATCTACTCGGACCACTAAAAGTCGAGCAGTGTTTTTGTCAGTAAATCACTGCAAAAATATCATTTTTATCTCGTATGAAGGTCTATTTTTTATTCCTGATACAAATTTCATTACTGAGAAGTCGAATATTAATAGTACATTTTAGACGAGATGGTTGATGTTTGTTCATATTCTTTCGTCCTGGCCGTTGCAGCAGCTGAAGATACCCTGAAAAATAAAAAAATAAAAAAACAAAATTAAGCACGTTGTAGTATTCTATTATGCTCTCAAAATAAATCTAGCGAAAATTAAGAGTTGAACATGGCATACACTGTACAAATGAAATTCATCTAAAAACTACAATTACTTGCATCCCTCACAAACTCATGACGGGACATGATTTCCGATCCGCAAGTTAGCGATGCGAAAAAAGGGGTTCCGCAATAATTTTACATTTACCTTGTTGTCTACAGAGACTTTTACGTTTTGAGCGATAAATCCTAGGGAAGACGGACAACCCATGAAAGTAGACGGATCGGGAACCAAAAACCCGCAGAAGAAAAACAAAAAACTTCCGCAAAATTTTCGCGGACGATCCACATTTTTTAGGACGCATTTTGTCCGCGTATAGATCTACAAGGATATTTCCTCGTTTATGCCACCAATCCTCATTCTCAGACGAATCCGGGCTAACTCGGCCCATGGGACTACTCAGCCCAGTTGGAAAAACTGGGCCGAGATGTCCCGACCTGATTAATCGATCGAGAGATACCAATGTGTATATGTTTTTGCTCTTTGTGACTTAATAATGCCCTTTCCAACCAAAATCTCTAATGGAATTGTGTTAAATGATACTAATGAAGAAAATCTATAACTTATCTTTAGGTAAAATGACAAAAAAATGACATTTCGGACAATTTACTCACAGCTCGCAATCCGCATTGTCGTACGTACAATAAAGGTACTATGTCCCCTTTGCAGCCAAACTCAAATGCTGTAGAACTAATTTGCAGGAATTATGAATATGTCATGAATGTCCTATCTGTGAAATTTAAACGTTAGCAGTGTCCTCATATTTAAATGATGCAAGGAAACCCGTTTACTTGCAAGACTTCACTGTCAGCCACTATTGAGTGACTGACTGACTTTTTTTCTTCTTTGGTAATAACATACATGAAAAGAGTTGTAAAGGGTACATGAGCATTTGTCTACATCAATAACCCACTTCTTGTGATGGCCAAGATTAAACTGATTGAATCTTTGCACAGCATAAAACGTATGACCATTAGGTAAAATTGTCTGAAAATCAAGACTAATACTTTTGAGCTCTATAGCCCTAAAGTCAATTTGACAACTAATAGTCGTTATTTTCCCACTTGAAGACATTTTTAAGCCCCACCTTTTTTAGAGAAGTTCTAAATTAGTATTATCTTTCAAATGCAGTTGGAATTTAACTTTTTCATTTTTTGGCCTGCAAATGGGACATAGTACCTTTAAATGTGCGTTGTATCTACTCGGACCACTAAAAGTCGAGCAGTGTTTTTGTCAGTAAATCACTGCAAAAATATCATTTTTATCTCGTATGAAGGTCTATTTTTTATTCCTGATACAAATTTCATTACTGAGAAGTCGAATATAGTACATTTTAGACGAGATGGTTGATGTTTGTTCATATTCTTTCGTCCTGGCCGTTGCAGCAGCTGAAGATACCCTGAAAAATAAAAAAATAAAAATACAAAATTAAGCACGTTGTAGTATTCTATTATGCTCTCAAAATAAATCTAGCGAAAATTAAGAGTTGAACATGGCATACACTGTACAAATGAAATTCATCTAAAAACTACAATTACTTGCATCCCTCACAAACTCATGACGGGACATGATTTCCGATCCGCAAGTTGGCGATGCGAAAAAAGGGGTTCCGCAATAATTTTACATTTACCTTGTTGTCTACAGAGACTTTTACGTTTTGAGCGATAAATCCTAGGGAAGACGGACAACCCATGAAAGTAGACGGATCGGGAACCCAAAACCCGCAGAAGAAAAAAAAAAACTTCCGCAAAATTTTCGCGGACGATCCACATTTTTAGGACGCATTTTGTCCGCGTATAGATCTACAAGGATATTTCCTCGTTTATGCCACCAATCCTCATTCTCAGACGAATCCGGGCTAACTCGGCCCATGGGACTACTCAGCCCAGTTGGAAAAACTGGGCCGAGATGTCCCGACCTGATTAATCGATCGAGAGATACCAATGTGTATATGTTTTTGCTCTTTGTGACTTAATAATGCCCTTTCCAACCAAAATCTTTAATGGAATTGTGTTAAATGATACTAATGAAGAAAATATATAACTTATCTTTAGGTAAAATGACAAAAAAAATGACATTTCGGACAATTTACTCACAGCTCGCAATCCGCAATGTCGTACGTACATTAAATGTGCGTTGTATCTACTCGGACCACTGAAAGTCGAGCAGTGTTTTTGTCAGTAAATCACTGCAAAAATTTCATTTTTTATCTCGTATGAAGGTCTATTTTTTTTATTCCTGATACAAATTTCATTATTGAGAAGTCGAATATAGTACATTTTAGACGAGTTGGTTGATGTTTGTTCACATTCTTTCGTCCTGGCCGTAAATTAGCAGACTACTGCCTAGTGCTACCGCAGCAGCTCAGCACAGTGTGCAGCTAGCTGTACAGCGCCGCCGGCCGGGTCGCGAATTTGCGATTCCCAAACCATTCAGCTGTGGGAAACATTTTGAGCAACGTGATTGGTTAAAAAAAGTTATAAAGACACGCCCACATCGACGCGAGCCATCTCATCATGGCGGGGCGAATGTGTCTGGGGCCAAGTCCGAGTGAACCATCAAATCTTCAAAATGATTTTCCAAATCTGCATGTAGACCTAAGTAGATATTAAGACCCTGTATTTAATTATTTTATTATAAAGTCGCCGTGATCAGATCCGTGTCTATGACTTTTGGAATGATGTTTGCATGAATGGGCTGCACATAAACAGTGGGCCTGTATGTGCCTGTAGCTAGCTCGCGTGTGAAGTGCATTGTACCTAACAACATAGCGTATGTGCAGTCCTGAGTGTTTTGTTGAGCCTAGCCAAGCATTGTTTGAACATAGACAATAACACAAGTTACATGTAGATTTAGATGATACAAGTATGTTCTAATGAAATATAGATATCGATTGGATGATTTAAAAAAAAAATTTTTAGCTCTAGATTCTTGACCCTAGATCTAGACGTCTATAGACTTTCTAGACCTATGATAAAAAATTAAAAAATGGAACATTATTTATTGGGGGAGGGGGGGGGGGGGGGAGTCTAACTTTACTAGTCTAGATGTCTATGTATAAATGAGAGCTCGAGTCTGAGGGAAAAAAGGGGGTTGCAGAGAGGCCCATTTAGCAGTTGTTCTAATAATCAAGGGGCTAGACCAACAAGATGAACCATTTTGAAATTGCCATTAAAAAAACTGTTATTAAAATCAAATTATGAAACCAGTTGTGGTGGAGCTCTAAGTGAACTTAAATGGGAAAAAAGAGTAATATCATGAAAAACAAAGCTTTTTTTAATAAATACTTTATTAACTCATTATCTACAGGAACTGGGTGATTCCTGTAGACTATTAAACCTTTGTGAAAATGAGATAGAGACCAAAAATAAGAGGTTGGTTCCTCTTTAAAGACTGAAAAATGTATGCACTACATGTAAAATTATGATTTAAAATTGTTTTATCCATAGAAGCACCTTCATCGCATCGCAATGAAAAACATGAATTTATAACAATATACATTCTTGGCATAACATTGTCGTACCTGTTTGTTGCAGAGCACACGAAGAAGTCAAAATCTTCCACCACAATGACATTATCTGTTAGACTAGAATGTATACCCAGCTTCATGGTAACAGAATCTACAGAAACAAAAACAAATATCATCAAAATATGAACATCATCAAAATCTATGAATTTCCAATCACATCATTCTTTGGGTACATTCTTGTAATCTTCTTACTTCTGGAATTTCATGGGTGTTTATAATCAAAGGACAAAGAGATCTAATTTCTAAGTGATTAAAGATAAAGGGCATTGGTTAAAGTTAATGGGGATGTTTTGTCAACATGAGTAATATATTTTGACAAGAAATATTCTTTACACTGAATAAAGCATACATGGATTCCATGAAACATGTGTTATTTAAATACTCTATCACATAAACAATTAACTCACAATGAACTTCCTGGTTAGAAAATTCTGGAGTTTAAAGATAAATCTGAATCTACCATAAAACAATCTATATACAAGTACTATGTCAGCAAGACTGCATTTTCAATGACCAACTAAGGAAATAACGTAACTTTTTTTGGGAAATATAAAAAAATAAAAAAAATTGTTGTGAATACAATATAAAGTACACCATTTCACATGTAAAAGTCCTGACTGTTACAAACTGAACTGTAAACATGAAGTGTTATTTGCACACATTCAAAAGATATCGGTGAAGATAAAAAGCACTCATAGCCGATGAACCATGATCAAGTTATGTATAGTGGCCTCACACAATACAATCTTATTGATCCTGTTCTGTAGAATTCTAAAATGGGTTATAGACTGTGGATGGCCTTTGATTTTGAAAACTTGTCCCACTCTCACGTAATTCTATTAGTGTATTTAGTGTATATTTGTGAACCTAAAAAAAAAAAAAAATGTACACATGTAATTGACTTGCACTTGTGGGTAAAGAGTGCCCTATGTATACTCTGTGATCTTTGTATTGTAATTGTGATGCACACTACACATAGTCATTTTATCTTGCCTCTACGGCTCTTAGAGTTGTAATGTTTGCATCACGTCTTAAAGGTAATACTAAGTTTTGGTATGGGGTTATGAATTTGGTTCAAATGATCATATTGGAAGCATATGCGATCCCACAATTTTCAGTGATCGTTGTCGTGGCTGAAATCGAGTCTAAAGTGATGAAATTGTAAATAATAAACTTTTTATGTTGTAAATCGCCCTCTCAAGGTCAAGATATTAATTTAGCTATAAAACAATGTTATTTGACTAAAATCGACCGATTTGCCATTGCCGTTTGGACTATATATATCACAACTGCATATTCTGACATTTTCATGGTCGCAGCTACCATCGTATGGCCGTAGGCGCTATTTGAAATTTATCAAAATTTACCGGGAGCACCAGAAATTTTTATATCCAATTTTTCTCGAAAGCAGAAGTGTTTTACGGGCTAAATTTGTTAGTGCTTATAATACATCCATAGGGGAATTCAAATATATCAAAATTGCAAAGAATCACTAGCCAATTTTCAAAATTTACCAAAACTTTGTAATACCTTTAACCGGGGCTTAAAGGCAGTGTATCCCTTTTGCAGCCAACATCAAATTTTGTAGAACTTTG